ACCAGTGTCTAGGTACCCCAGGGGGAGGGTTCCCCTACTAAAATAGCCTACAGACAAAAGGGTACCCTTATTCTAACCTCTCTACTGGAGGACCTACATACCGTTTGGCTGGAAACGTGCGGATGTGGAACCTGGTCAAATTCGAGCCCAAGCCCCCGCCAGCATCGCGGCCCCGATTGGTGGTTGACGAATCGACTTGGAGATTCACCCCTTGTCATTTTTTCAGAGGTTTGGGTTTTTGGGTTTTCCCTTTGGTGGGGGGGGGGGGGTTGGGTTTTGGGAGTGCTTGGTTTCGTGGCTTTTGGGCTTTCCTTGGGGTGGGAGGGAGGTTTTGCGGGATGTTTGGGTGGTTTTGTGATTCGGTGGTTGGGTGTTCGGTAGATGGTGCAGGAAGCGCTAAAGGGGCAGAAAGCCCCAGCTTCCATTTGCTGAAATGGTGGATTCTGATTTTCCCAGTTGGCTTCGGAGGAAAATTGTAATGATGCTTGCCGCCTTGAGCAGACGCAAGCCGGTTAACCCCCAACTAGCACCACTTGCCTCAATCCTGTTCTGAAATGCAGGGAACAAGGGAGCCCCTGAAGTTGTTCACATTTTTCCTTGTGATTGAACGTGGTTGCTTCAATTACCAACAAAAAACTTGAGGAATATGCTTTGGTCAAAAAGCAGTTCTGGCCATAGGTGCAGCCGCCCATTGTGACTATCTAGGTCATGTTGATGTTTGTATGAGGAATGCTGCTGACCTCTATTTGCGCAGAGGGCCTCAAGGTACGGATTTAACCAACCAAAAGCTACTTCATAAGAGAGCCTTCCTGCTGTTTTCTACTTCCTTCGGAAGTCATTTGAATCCCTTCAGCTGTAAGCCGAAGTCTGCGAAGTCAAGCCAACTCAAAAGGAATCAGGACCCTTCGGTCCAGTTCCCAACACTTCCATTTGGTTAAGAATATGTTCATTTTCCCCTGTTGGTTTAAAGGGAATCTATCACTACTGGCAATATGTTTTATTTTTCCAGGGGTCTTAAGCAAGTTGAGGGCAACAAGAAAGCTGCAGCTCAAGTCGAAGCAAAAGCAAACATCCAGCCGCCAGGGCATGAAGCGTCGAGCGGAGCCACTTGGATGCATGGGGATCCGATCCGCGCGCTTCTTCCAGGGGTTCGAGCGGATCGGATCGCGCGAGACGTGGGCTGGGTGAAAATTGAAGGCTCTCAAAGAAGACTGGGTTGACAAGCAAATGCTCTTTGTTGCATTGTGCCAAGGGATGATAGGACTTGAGAACTTTTTGCCAACTCATGGGTTTTCCGTATTAAACCAATAAAAGTTATTCACTTTTAGCAGAGCAGTGATGGAACCAGAGTTTGACCCATACCCAAGTGCCCAACTGGAATCGTGGAACTTTGTCTGGGCTGTTCAAAGGCAGTCCGCCAGATCCTGACCTTTCGTCACAGTGGTTCATTTATTTGTGTGCTTTCCCAATAGGGATTATGAATTGGGACTGGCCAACCTTCCATTTTGAACAGCCCAGTAAAAGCGAGCCATCCAAAGCAGGTTGCAAAAAGATAAACCTGAGTCTGGCCCTAGCAAACCACAAGTGTAGAACTAGGTGTTGTTCTTGTGAGGGTTGACCTTTTCGTCCCTCCCCCCCTGGTTTTGTGGGGAGGGAAATCGGGCTCATAGCCGCGACTTCCCCCGAATTCCAGCTTTGCTGGACAAAAGAGTCACTTTGGCGGACTAGTTGATTGGCCAAAAGTCTGGTTACCTGTTTCTGACCGATACACTCAAGCAGAAGTGAGAGCCCTTGTGCCTGCCAGTCGCAACACTTGCAACTTCAATGATCTCCTTAGTTCCCTCTTCTTGGTGGCCCCCAGCCGTCCCCTTAGCTTTTTGGGCTTTTAGGGTTTAGTGGTAGTTTCCATTCAACCCACTAAACGTTAAACTTTTCGCAGGGGATCTGAGGGCAGCCCAGTTTTGTCTAGAAATGGTGTAACCAAAGAACCACAGTGTCCTTGTTTCTCATGGACACTGGGCTCCATCCTTGGGAAGACCGGCACGACTCACAGCAACTTCTGGGGCTCTTAAACCAGGCAAGCCTTTTGAAGCGACCAAGGATTCTGCCCTTTTAAAGGTGCGCAGAATTGAATTCCTGAAGCTGAGACAACATCTCTTTGGATCGCATGGTTTTTTCTTCGCGGTGTGCTTTGGTTTCCTGGGACTGATCTTGGGAGAAGCTCCCGGGTGTTCAGCGAGACTTGTACCTGTCTGCATGGAAAAACACCAACACCAAGTACACGGTCAATGAGCTAGAACTTCGACTCAAGCTTGCTGAATTCCTCATAGGCTAGACTTTGGGATGAACGGCCCATGTGAAAAATCTTCCACACTGGTTCAATCCTCCAGGATCCGGCCACAGGGAAGGAAATGTTTTTTTTCCAGCCGCAAGAAAGGGATGCCACTTGGCGTTCATCTTAGCCGAAAGGTTGTGGGATCCAGGTTGAATCTCCCCCTTGAAAAAAAGGGGGTGAGGTGAGTATTTGTTCTATCAGGGGAGCAGAGGGTTTAGTCCTTGGTTCCATTTAACATGGTTCCATTTTGGGTACCCATTTTTGACCCACAGCCAAGTGAGGTTTTTGCTCTTCTGTCCGCTACTGTGGATGGACGAAATCCTGCACCACCCAAGAATCACTGGAATGATGATTCCCCTGTACATACCAACTAGCACTGGTTTCAACCACGGTTTCAAAGTGGTGCGAAATGGATTTCTCAACCATCCACAGTGTCACACTTATGTTTGGTGCCCTTTTGAAGCAATCGCGTTGGTTCCATTTGCTTAAGGCTTTTTGGGGGTGCCTTGGCTCATCCACAGTATCTTGCACCCAGTTGGCTTCGGAGCCGGTTTTCGTTAAGGCGGAAGACCTGGAACCCCTTCACTCGCAGCAAGACCTCGGTTTGACAGGCCAGGCCCGGTTTAACGCCTCGTGCGCCGGTGTCGTCGTTCAACATGATTGTTGTTGGGAAACATTCTACATTTTCGCTTCTTGTGGTTGTGTGGTTGAAATCCAACCACTTAACTGCTAAAACGTCAACCAAGTTTTTGGCGTTTCACTGGTCGGGTATTTCATTTGAGAGTTGCCCCAGCGCCACGGAATGTGGCTGTGGGTCAAAAATAGTTGGTAACCCCAAATGGGTTGCCCTGGTAAGTGACAACATGGACCAAAACCTGTCCCCTGGTGGTTTAATTTGACCCACACCCAGGTTAACCCCGGATTGATAAGCCCCTGCGTGATTTTGATCGGGGGGTGTCCCGATTCTTTGAGTGGGGATTCAGACCACTTTTGGAGGGAACACCCGCCTAAGAATGGGACGGGTTTATTTTCTGTTAGTGTTGCCTGCAAAGGCTTCGCGATGGAGGCCCCGACAGTTTTTCTTTTTATTTTTTCTTTCTCGCGGAAGTTGAGTGTTTCTCGGGTGGTTTGCAAGCAAGATGCCATGATGAACCATGTGTTTGCCGGCAGCGCGAACTTACCTGATTCCTTCGCTTGCCAGGTGAGAACACCCTCGTTCTTGGAGGAGTCTCCGTTTTGCGGACCCTTTTTTAAGGGTCCATGTTAATTTGCTGGGGAATGGTGGAAGGAAGTCGGCCAAATACCCACCAAAACCAGGAGTTTCGGCGTCCAGTAGTTTCAGAAAGAGAGAGCTCAAAAAGAAAGCGTCTCGCCGACCTTTGCCCGCAATGGGGAACTTAGGCATCACGTTGCTTGTCTTCCCTCCAATCATACCCCCCAAAATGGCTTACCGGTTTTCCTTTTGGAGTCCCTTTAAAACCACCAAAAGGTTGTAGCTGACGATCTGAGGGTGTTCGTTCGAACTGCTTTCCTTTCTGGGCAACCCCAAATCGTCCAGGAAACCTTCTGCCGTGAAGAGCAAAGAGGAGTCTATTCAGAATTCGCAATTTTCAAGTGGGACTTGATCGTCACTTTTTGGGTGTGGTTGCCATGCTTGTTTTAAAACTAGGCCCCCCAGTGCCCTTTGTAAGCCCAGACAAAAAAAAAATGGTACCCTTATTCTAGCCTCTCTGGAGGGCCTGGAAAAGTTCAAGGCTTGGGTTGCCGTCTCAATCAAAAGTCACAATGCGCAACCCCAAAAGGTTTGCTTTTGATCCCATGCCTCAGGGGGAGGATCGCTGAAACTCCCAACCCAGGTGCCTCGAACAATCACGGCAAGCCTTGCTTGATTCAAGTGCGTGGTTTTTCCTCCCCGGAAAAGGAAGGCGGAGAATGCAACAAAACGTGGTTCTACCTGTTTTGTTTTGCCCCCAAACAATGTCCATCCCGCACTGGATTTGTGATCGATGACCACATTAGCTCCTGAGGACGCACAGACGGCGGAATTCGTTGCATGGCGGCTCGCGGCTCGCGGTGAATCCAAGAAGCTTGGCCGATGGGGACACGCATTGCATTTGATGCTGAAAGAAAACTATCCCTCTGCATATTTGTCATGTGTAATTCTTATTTATCACTTGGGCAGTATTGTCATCATCATCATCACCACCACCACCACCACCACCACCACCACCATCATCATCATCATCATCATCATCATCATCATCATCATCATCATCATCATCATCATCATCATCCCATCATTCTCAGTGTTATCAGCCTCAGCCTCATCATTATGTGTTTTATCAGCGTCAAGCTTTTTACAGACTCGTTTTTTGGTTGTTTGGGCGTTGAGGCTTGTTCGCGCCCCTCAAAGCTGTTTTCTGCTTATCTGGCAACCAAAATCAATCAACAAAATCGCCTTTCATGTTTCCCTTTTTGAGTACTCCAGTCTACTTGTTCCGATTTGGGGCTATGTTCAAGGCAAGACCAAAGGTGCTCTGCAAGTTAGCTTGCAACTTGCAACCCCTTTTCTTCCCCAGAAGTAGCTCCCATTTTTGTTCTTTTGCTTTTTGGGGTCCCTTTGTTTTCCACTAACCAGGCAAAAAAGTACTTTAGCGAGCCACCCATGAGGGTCCCTCACATTGGTGAAATCTCGGGTGTCTTTGGTTGGGACCCCCAAACCAGGCGAACAAATCTTGATTCACCAGAGATCAAGCCATCCACGTTAACTTTCGGCGCCTTCTGGGAACAGCCGAAGTTTGCATGAGGTTCTTAGACTGGGTGCGAGGTCTTTTAAAGGCAAGTGCTTCTATCGACCCCAAACGATGGGTGGTTGGTTCTCTTCATTTTTAGGTTTGGCGGCTGCAAACCACGGTCAGCTTGTTGCTGCCACAGGCAGAGGAAAGTGATCCATGCCGATTGGAAGGCGATCGCGGCCCGCGGACGCGTAGGCGATCGCTTGCGAAGCCGCTCATGATTTCCGTGGGGGGTCCCATCTCCCGTCAAAGATAAAACCCACCAAAGGAGCAACATTTTTTCCAGGAAGCCCCCAGTCAGGTTTCATGTTACAATCCGGACAACCGTACTCAGTCTGAGGAATCTCCCGGAAATCATATGTTTCTGGTAGGCCATTTTGACCAATCTGAAGCTTACACAAGCATCTCAAAGCCGACTTTTGCTCCTGGTGGGTCCCATGTTTGACTTGTCGTCAAGGCCAAGACCCGTTTTTAAGGTGCTTGAAAGGGAACCCGGTTCAAAAACCGTGGCCCGGTTCCTGATGGACGAAATCCATTTCGCACCACCGTTCAGAAACCCTGGAAGGATTCGGATTTCACAACGTAAATACCAACTGACCTTGTGTTCCCATGGTTTCCAAGTGGGCATTTGGAGGAGGGGCGGGTGTCCGTCCTGGTAACTTGGGGCAAAAACCCATGAAAAAACATAAATGCTCTGGAGGCATTTACCATGGGAAAAAATACCCAAGTATGTACCATGGGTAGGGTATTTGGAGCCGGGGGTATGTTGAGACAAAGCCTTCCCTCCAGCGGCCTTTCAAGAGCTGCGTGGATCGCTCGTTGGGCCGCTGCTGCTTGGGCGACGGCCCTCGTGAAGAAAAGCAAGCGGCGCAGCACCGGAAATGGCCCTGGGATTGTTTGGGCCAAATGGCTGTGGGTCAAAACCAATGGGATCCCATTTTTGGGTAGGTGCACTGCCCATTTTAGTCTATTTTAGTTGGGATTGGGATGTTCACTAGGGGTACGGGATTTTGACCCATGAACACATGAGCGCTCAAATGGGGATGGCACAAGCATCCCGCTGTACTATATCCCGCTTCCGTTGTCAAGTTCCCCGAGTTGCACCCAAGTTCCCATTCTCGAGAGCTTGGCCCTTTCCAAGCAGCGAAAGCCAATTGGAGCAGACCAAGGGGAGCTTCCGGTGCTTCGGTAGGTGCCCCCTTTGCCGCCTCGTAGAAGTCCGTTCTCAGCTAGGACGCCTCGTTTGTTTTGGGTTGATTCCTCATTCTGTTCAACCATCGTTGCCAAAACACATGTCATCCCCTAGGCTGATTCGGAAGATACCAGTGGCCGGATGCATTCAGTCCTTCGCATTCGACCCAGGTCTTTCCTTGCCCTTTCCTCGCCGAGGGGCGTTTTGTTTCTTGTTTTTTTGGTTCTGTTCAGCTTTGGAAGGGGGCTCCAAAAAACACCGCACCAAGGGTTGTGAAGACGGTTTCCAAAATCTATCTTTCTGAAATTGGGTCTGTCTCGGAAAGAATGTTTGGCCCCTACAAATTCCACGCTCCCGCCACGAATGATCCCCAAGAATGATTCGGGAACATACGCTTTAAATAGCATTTTCCAGGCGTTTGGACACCTGCGCGTTCGAGTCTCCTAAGCTCCCTTTTTGAACTCTGATTTCCTCGTACCCCCACCCTAGGGGTGTGTTTTTTGGTTAGTTTGGTTCAAAAAGGCAGCACTGAGATGCAATCCATTTACCAGGCCCATCCAAATGTCCACTTTTGGCCACGTACGGGCTGAGTTCAACAGTAGGACGCCTACCCTCCCACAGACACACCTACTTGCAGATCCCCTTTAACACTTCTTTCAAAAAACGGATGTATCCCTTTTTTCCCCATGGAGATCCATTGGGCATTTGAGAAACCTACGGGGAACCGGTCCCCAAGATGGTCGGGTGGGGTGGTTCTTGGGCCGAGGTCGCGTGCTGGGCGGCGGTGCCATGGCCTTCCAGGTGGGGGGGTTTACACTCGGGGGCTTCATCAATCCGTGCAACATGGGACCGTTGGGAAACCACCCCAAAAGTGCGGGAGAGGTACGCCACGGTCCTTCTGGGGCCCATGAAGAGAAACACCTCTAGAGGTGTACTGGGGGGGGTGCGGCGGGGGGTGGGGGGGCGGGGTCTTTCATATGTCTAAAAGTCCGCGTCCAAGAAGCTGTTGGATTTCCTTCGGGTTTTCCTTTGAATCAGTAACCCATCTGAAGGAAAACCAACACGCCGAAAAGCCACGCGAACTTGGGCCAACGAGTCCCTGGCCGAACCTTTCTGCCCGACCTCTCACGCTTTTTTTGGGTTGGGAGGGTTCACCTGAAATAGACTACAGAAAAAAGTTGGTACCCTTAGTCTAACCTCTCGACTGGGGGACCCAGGCAATTCCCTTATTAAACCCCCTTAGTGTAGCGCTGATTAAGGGCTTATCCATGGCTTGTCCCTGGCGTATGCAGCGATTGATGCTTGAAACGGGGCGCGCAAAGGCCGAGGAAAGTCCATTCATGGGTCCAGACTTGTTTTGTGTTCTCCTGGGCTGCAAAGAGTGAAAACACATCCTGACCTGGACAAAACTCTGCAGATGGACGCCAACTGGTGCCCGTTTCCGGATGTTGGCCTAAAAAGTTCGACCTTGCCGATCGAAGAAGCCAAAGGAAAATGGACGGGTCGGGTTTCTGCTTTATGGCTTTGGACTTCAGCTTTTGGGGAAAGCAGTGGATTTTCCATTGGACCCACCAAAAAGGTTTAACTTTTTGCAGAGAGGAAAACAGCAGCCAGGTCTTGGTGTTCCGATCCTAATTTCATTAACTTGAACACTGGGCGCCTTGAAAAATGCATGAAGCTTTGGCAGTTGGACTACACGAAGCCTTTGGCCCACAGAAGGAAACATGTGTGTTTTGGGGTGGGAGAATGTTCAGGTGCACAAACCTTGCCTGAAAAAGATCAGAATAGGTGTTGGGGCCAACATGGTTTCAGATTCTGAACTCCTGGTTCTTGCAAAGGTTAAATCAAAACCACCCAACCTGGACACCTGCAAACCCACAATTGGAGGGAAACCAATTTACAATGAGGTTCGTTCAACCTGTTCGTCATGGGGGATTCCACCAGAAACAGGAAAACACGTGTGCTCCCCCATGTCCAGTGCGGGAACCTATGACCGTTGTCTTGAAACCAATCGTCAGGGCGTGGAATGCCCCGCCGAGAATTGGGGAAAGGCCCCATTGGCGGGGGGGGGGGTCAAGAAACAACCATAAGAGAAATGACGAGGTTTCAACCATACTGCCCCACCTAAGAAGATCTGGAATTGGTCGATTCCCCTGGAAGTACCAACAAACAATGGTTTTAACCATGCATTTTTTCAAGTGCTGGGAACATTTTTGGCGCAACCATCTACAGAGGTTTGAACATGTTGAATCAGGTGGCCAAGCCTAACTTGTGGTCTCAAACTCGCGTCAGGTCAATTCCATCAGGTCGATGTGTTGGGCTTCAAACAGTTGGCTCACCCCTCCAAGAGGTTTTTTTTTGTTAAAGCGGCGAAATTCCCACCCCACAAGCAACAAGCTGCAGCTGTGCCGCACAGCCCAACGATCACTCGCGATAGGGCCATCGACGCCGAAGAGCAGAAGCAGGCGCGATTGCCCGGGTGGAAGCCAATGGATTTTAGGCGTTTCGTTGCTTAGGCTTTCCTTCGGTCCCATTTACTTGTAAAAGGTGGCGAGGTGTTTGGTGACCTAAACGGACCCAGTGGGAAGGTTAGGGGACAGTCCCCTTGCTTTCGAGTTTTCTGTAGCTGGGTCGGCCATAGCGACCAGTCTTGATTAGTTGGTATCAATGGCTTCAGGTTCCCTTGAAAGGGAAATGGCTCGGAAGCCTCACGGACCTCGGTTCCTTGGCTTGGAAAGAAATCATGAAACCCTTGCTGGGGGTGTCCTTTTTAGATTGGACCCCCCAAAAAAAACATGGCGGTGTCCCTTTGGTTTCCCCTCAAAGACACCAAGGGGAGGACCCCCAAAAAAAGCACACACCCATACAAAAATCGTTATACCCATGTTAAGTCCGCTCGGGTTTCCACGGTGTGCTGCTCAATGGGAGAGTTCGCTTCCAATTCACGTGAAGGTCCTAGGGCCTGGGGATTCTTGAGTTCAGAGTTGCGAACTATATTCAGTTCCGAGTCTGAGATAGTAGAGGATATGATGTAGGAAGGAAAGAGAGATGTAAAGATGGAAAGGGTCTAGAGAAGAAGACGAGAATTAGGTAGAAAGCATCCAAGATTCTAGACTGCAATCATTGGAGAGTTAACCGGGCAAACTATATTCAGTTCCCCAGTTGTCCAGACTGTATACTTTAGGAAGACAATTTTAGTGCCATACAAAAAGTTAGGAACTTCTTTGGGCCATGCACACAGGAAGTGATTTTTCTTTGCTTCCCCCAGTGAGTGGACTTGAGTCACTTTTCGGGAAGATCATGTGAGTGGTGAAGAGAAAGTTACTTTGTGTCCGACCACTCAAAAAGTGGGAAAAGCGCGGAGAAAAATCCGATTGCTCAACTCAGTGCCCTTTGCTTCCATTTGCTTAAGACTATGTTTGTATTTTCCCCTGTTGGTTTCAAAGGGAATCTAGGACTCCTGGACATATGTTTTTTCATTGTTTCCCGGGGGCGAAGGGGGGAAACCCCGCAGACTGGGGGAGGAGGCTGGCTGGACTTGGTGAAAAATGGAAAGAACCCAGGGATTGGTGGGCAGGGTGGCTTTCGGGGAGTGGGATGAAGGAAGCCAGTGGTTCTATGACTCGCAGTCGTTCGCATCTGATCGCGCATTGCCGGCATAGACTGGGGGTTTCCAGCGGCAGTTCAAACTGGAGAGTGCTCCCCTGGCTGGCAGCTTTCTTTCTTTCTCCAGGCTGAGGCTCCATTTAGCTCAAGTAAAAGAAAGAAAAAAAACGCTGAGACGGGTAAAATATGGTTGGTTTGTTCGTCTGTTGTTTTGTGTTGTGTTTATTTTTTTGCATGGGGCATTCTCCGAAATCCGACTCTGCTGAATGCTGCTCTTTTGGCTGAAACCTGGCTTGAGCCCCGCTGGGTGCTGCTCGGTGGCAGGTGCGGCGAGAGCTGGCGGCGCTCTTCCACCAGCACTACGCTCCGCGCCGAGAGCGTCATGGGAACGTTCCGTGAGTCCAGGGGAGATTTTTCCTGGGTCTCTCGCCCAAAGCCCCAAGTTTGATGGCGAAGCGAGCGATTCATCCGGTTCAACTTAGCTTTTTAGATCCTTTGGGTGTTTAGTGGTAGTGTCCGCATTTAATCCACTAAAAGTTAGTCACTTTTAGCGGGGGATCATAAAACGGGCAGCCCAGAATTTTTTGGCCTTTGAATTTTCCGCTTCTTGGCCAATGTTGAGTCATGGGTCCTTTGGGCAGCTGAGTAGTATTAGAAACAACGCTTTGTCTTCTTCCAATTTCTTAAGAATATTGTTATTTTTCCCATTTGGTGTTGAAGGGAATCTATCACTATTGGAAATGTGTTTTCCCCATTTGGTTTTAAAGGGAAACTATCACTACTGATTTGTTTCCAGGGGGCCTAAGCAAATGGAAGTCTTCTTTGGGAGTTGATGTCCTTGTTGGAGTTTTGTGAAGGGGAAATCACCAATTATTTTCCTGCCCCGGAAGAGAATGGAGGGCAGTTCCATGTCCGTCGGTTTCTCTGGGCGCGTTCTATTCTCGGATGTCCAGATGGATGTCATTGATTCTGGGACTGCGGATGAATCAAACTGGACATCTCTTCACTGTTGTTGCCAGCTTGTTTTTCAGGTTTTTGTTGGTGTTGGCTTCCATTCATATTTTTGGTGGGTCTGCAAAAACCCGTCAGTTTGTTGCTACCGCTTGGGTTGTGAGGATCTAGAGGACCAAACCCAGACCAACAACCCGGATGGCACCCGCGTCGTTTTCGTAGGTCGTACCCGGAGCTGGCACCACGGCTCGAGAGGCCCCCGTCTTGTCGTCTTGTGGAATCCGTCGCCGGAGTCGGTTTGGCGCTTGAGCTTGCTGGTGCAAAATCGGTGAATGCGAAGATGAGCCGTTTTGGGATTCCCAACAAAACCACAAGGGATGGTTTATGGGGGTCATTCCCTCATTCCCTGCTGAACACCAACAAGTCGGTGTGTTTCGCTTCTCATGACAGCCCCAGTTTTTTTTTGTTTAAGGGTTCCTTAAAGGATACGTCCAAAAACCACCTTGACAAGAGAATCCTCTAAAGCTGGTTCAAGTGATATTCTAGTTCTTAGTGGACCCCAGTTGCTTTATAGTAGGGAACAAGCCATTTGTCCTTTTAGTTGCTAAAGGGTGCTTCCCTTGGTTACATATACAGGTAAATGGATCCACTGGGAATGCTTTTAAACACTGATTTTGCTCTGGCTCTGAGTAAATATGGAATCACGATTGGTGAAAGTGATACTATGGATGGTTGCGAAATCTGTTTCGCAGTTTCTGATTCGATGAAATACCAACAAACCTTCTGGTTTCAACCCTTGGCTTCATTTCGTGGTGCAGTGCCGGATTTCGCAACCAGCCAAAGAGGTGGCCAACATTTTGAAACAGGTGGCCAACGCTGTCAATTATCTCACAACGAAATTCAAGTTGATTTTTGATATTCGCGTAGACTACTTGAACCAACCAGCATATTTTCCGTGCCCTCCAATGAAGGGCACTTGTCGTGTTCTTGAATCGAGGGCACTGAAAAGAAGCTGGAATGTTATATGTTCGAGTCCTCATCTCGTGCGCAGGCACGGCCGTTTTTTTTTCCGCTTTGCCAGGTGCGGGACATGGCCGCGGCCCTGAGGCCGGATGGGACAAAGCCGAAACGCTGCCAAGCCAAGAATCGTTCTGCCGTTGTGGGGTCTTCGCCAAGGACGCCGAGAGCGAGACATATATATATATATATATATGTATGTATATACACATTATGATTCAGCACACCTGACCTCAAAAGGCAGTGCCAGAAGCCTCGCTTCAGCATGACGTTCGGTTTTTCGCCCCTGTTTCGCCCATGTTTTCCCAAAAGTCGGCCAAAAGGCGCGATCTCTCAGCTTTTTCTGGGTCAAGGCCGAAGCTTTGGGCCGAGTCAAAAGCCATTGGGCGAGGTTCATCCGCAGCTTGCGCTGCGGCGAGGCCTCTTGGTGCGCCAAGGCCAGGGGGGCGGGGGGGGGGGGCCTTTGGACAAAGGAGGGGCCCTCTGTCTTATGTGTGTTTTCTGTTTGTTTTTTGCGTGTTTTTGTGTTCAATGTTTTTAATTTTGAGGTCCTGTCTTCTTTTGAGGGTTCCCGTGAAAATCAGCTGCCGAAAAGAACGGGGACCAATTCGTTTTCGGATGTTTTGGGGTAGCCACATTCCCCAACTTTCTGCAAAGGAATCAGAAACCACTTTGAAGGGATGCTCAGTTGTTCAAAGCCGACCTTTTGACCTTTTGGTTTTCCCATTTTGGTCCATATTTAGTCATGCCCACAAAGGGTCAACCTTTTAGTTCCAGGTCCTTTGGGCAACTGAGGATGGATTTGAAAAAGCGATTCTCAGCTGCCACGTCCCCCAAACTCCCGACAAAATGTGTGTGTCCCGCTGCCAGGCCGCGCCTCTCCGGAGCTTGCGCCGCTCCGAGGAGGAGGCGGCATTGTTGGAAAATGTTCGGCCATGGCTCAAGGGACACCCAAATCCCCAAGAAAAATGCCCAGTGGAATTCCATGGAGAAAAAAGAATCGGCATCCTTTTTTGTTTGACTTTAAAGAGACATCCATAATATGTTTTATTTTATTTAAAAAAAGGAAGCAACCCACTGGTTGCAACTGGGTATCTTACTCTGGATTCCAATTCACCTGTGGCTGTGGCTCAAAACCGTTTTGGGCTCCCATTTTGGGATAGGTGAATTCACCACCCATTCTGGAGCCTATTTTAGTGGTTGGATTGGGATGTTCACTGGGGGGCGGGGGTTTTGACCCATGGCCATTTGCCCCCCACCTTCTTGCCGAGCGGTGCGGTCCGTTTTGGTGTCGCCTTTGGTTTGTCATTGGTTCCATTGGTTTTGGTTTAAAAACAGATCGATTCCCGGCTTACCTGGTTCAATCATCTACCAAAACTATCAATTGTCCAAAAAGAAATACACGTGGGTTTTGTAAACCATTGCTTGACGACCTTGGATGTTCGTTGCCAAGTAGCTGGTTGGCCACCTGGGTAAGCCAGTAACAACAAGGTCAAGGCGAGTTATAACTTTGGTTACTAACAACTTACAAACTCGGCGAATCGAACACCCAAGTGGGCGTGCTGGGTTTAGGGGGCGCTCTTGGGTTGGTGTTGAGGGAAGCCATTCCTTGACCCTCTAGTCGCACGCCGGTTTTTGGGGGGCAGCCTCTTGGATTGTGTGTGTGTGTGTTTTGTTTAATGGGGAAGCCAAAAGGGAAACCAATCGTAAGGTCCCCTTTGAAACATCCTCCAGCCATGCTCTATTTGTGCTTTCACCCGATCGTCCAGGTCTTCAATGTTTTGCGCCTCGGTTTCTTGTTTTTTTTTGGGGGGGTGCGTTCAGTTTAGGACAAGTTGCCACAGGGAGCCCTGATGTTTCATCGCCGCTGCTTTCCAAAAGGACACCTATGACCAAGATTCAAGGTTTGGTGAAGAGTGTTTAAACAACAAACAAGGGCTTGGGCCCCTGTAGTCAGGATGCCAAACATGGGCTAGGTCCCCCAGCTAGGTGCCCTTTTACCAATTCTTTTTGGGGGGAGGGTTCCCCTACTAAATAGGCTACACAAAAAAGTTGGCACCCTTATTCTAACCTTTCTACTGGACCTAGTGGGTGTTAAAACATGTTTCTAGTCCGGTTTGCCCAAGCCACGGGATGAATAGATCTCAGTTGCCCTGAGCCGAGGTCCCAGAACCTTCACTGCGTAACCGAGTTGTGTGGATTCCGTGTTCCCTTTGCTTTTGCCGCCCAACCGAAATGGAAGCGCAAAATAGGGATGTCGTTTGTTGAGGGTACCAAATTTGGTGGTTGTTTTAAAGGAAACCACTCTTAGTTGGAGTTCCCCTACTTTGAGCAAAGCCAATGCTTGCCTGCTTTTCTGTCACCTGATATCACACTGCTTTTCCAGGGCGCATTCATTAGGGGAAGTGAGTTGATTCAAATTCCATGCAATGATTTGAATTTCGCGATGAACACATTGTTTTGGGTTGGCTTGCATGAAGCAAAACATGTGTTCCGCGTCAGATGGTTGCCATTTTTATTCAGGTACCGGGTAATTGGTGATTTGGAGCCCGCAGATTTTAATTTGGATGTGAACCTATGCTTCTTGTAGAGGGCAATGGGAAACCACCCCGAACCACCCAACCACCAATAAAAAAAGCCACAAATGAGTGAGAAGCTGATTCAGCATAAAGCAAGTGCGTGCCACGTTCCAACAAATGTTCCGTTCAGACAGGAATTCACTCCAGGTTGGACACTGCTCGTGCTACTGCTCGGCCTGCTGTTGAATACTCGGTAAAAGTCCCAGGCTTTCTGGACACTTTGGTTGATACTGTGTTGGTTGCGACATCCGTTCGCACCACCTGAAAAACCTAGGTCCCCCAGTACCCTACTAAAATAGACAGAAAAAGTCGGTACCCTTATTCAAACCTCTCTACTGGAGGACTTGGCCATTGTTTGCTGGTATTTACTTGGCCATTTACCTGGCCATTGTTTAGGCGGTGCGAAATGGGTTTTGTCCATCCACAGTATGTGACAGGAGCTTGGTGTGGGCAACTTTAGGAAACCGATGGACATCCAAGCCTGCGTTGCGCCCGGCCAACTGCTTTCTGCCCAGAAAAGGGCAAGCCCTCCGTTCCCCTGCCCCACCCCTCGCCTGAGAATAAGCCACCGGACTGAGAAGTCAACGGGTGAAATCGTCCATGTGTGGGAGGGCGTTACCCTCCCAGCTAACATGGGTTTGTGCACAGACCCCTCTAAGACGACTTTCCTCTTGGAATCAAGGGAAGGGGTTTTCCCCTGTTAGGTGGGTTAGTCCTTGGGAAGCCCTTCTTGTATCACAGTGAACTCCATTTCCCACAGCCCTGAACGCCATTTTGGGCGGTTCTATGACGCGGCGTCGGATCCATGTGGGAAAACTCGGACTGGGACCGGACCCTTGAACTTGGTCCCTTTTGACAGGGCTCCTGAAAAGAAATGTCCATTTTGCCACCATTTGAAACATGGTTCTGTTTCCACCAAAATAGAGTTGGACACCTCCATTTACAAGTAGTTGCGATGTTCAGGTGTATAGTCTAAGGATCCCTGTTTGACAGTTTTAAAGACTGGAATTCTGTGGATTTGAGAACCCCAAACACCTCAAAATGGGGTGTCTAATAGAGGGCTCGGGTCTTCCATTGAAAGCCGAAGCCGATCGGAGCCTCTGGGCTGCTGGAATTCTGTGGATTTTTCCGACTTGTTCCAAGTTGGGGGTTGCAACTGGCCGTGATTTGAACAGGAGATCCTCCAACGCTTGCACGCCAGCCAGGAGCCCAGACAAAGAGTCGAGCTCACCGGTGGAGTCTCTCTTTTTTGCTTCGGGAACCCCTGTTTGGTGGGTTTCAAAAAACAAAAACCAGAGGAAAACCACCACATGTCGGGCGTCCCAGCCAAAAGGCGGCCGCAGTTGGGATGTCGAGAGCTAAGCCTTCAGTTCCTCCTTGTTCAGCCTAAAAAGTCATAAAAGTGTCAGGTTTAATCAACTACGTTCCCACCCACGTGGGGGCTTCGGGCTTTTCAACTTGTTCTTTTGGTGCGTTCCATGTTGGGTGGGAATGGATTCGGAGTGGCCAACCAACTCTTTGTGTTTAACAGTCTCTCAAGTTCCATGCCAGGCCTTCCAAATGTTCCGGTCTATTCCATCGGAAAAATCCCGAGACGAGCGAAGAGGAAAAATCGGATTGATCCAGCCTCCTCTGGAAACTGGGTCTGCAACTAGGTAGACGGAGAGGCCCGACGCATCGGAACTCAGCCGACCTTCGGAATCCACTCCTGGCACCAACTGGTTACGTCACTATGGGTTACCAAACATGTGTGGTTCCCGGTTCCCTGTTGAGCCAAGGTGAACAAAGCATACATACATACATACATACATACATACATACATACATACATACATACATACATACATACATACATACATACATACATACATACATACATGCGTACGTCCGTACATACATGTGTACGTGTGTGTGTGTATATATATATATATATATATATATATATATACATGTACATATATATATATATATATGTATACAATTGGGGTGGCTTTTGAAAGGCTGCCGGCATGAAACTAATCATTTGGAGGATTGGTCGTATTTGACACCGACTTGCCCGCTGTTCCAGGCCTGCTCCTCAGCGCGCATCCAGCAAAATATCACTCCGGCAAAATTTGCCTTTCCAAGTTGTGCCATTGAAACCACGAATGAAATTCCAGTTGGACTGTTGCTTAACCCACTTGTTCAAAGATTGAACCACCCACAGGGAAACAGCACCGCGTCAATATGGGTGTGGGTCCAAAAAATAGGGAAACGCCAAAATGGGTTGCCCTTGTAAATGGAAAGGATTAAGATCTGCGATCCATATCCGGGTGGGTCTCACTTCCTGAGTGCCTGCACTTTAAGCTTTTTGGTTTTTGGACCATTTTGGTGGCAAACAAAAGGTTCAGACTTCTTTTTGGCGCCCCAGGCAAGTGGATTCTTTTACCTTTGACCCACCCATATCACCTATTTTACTGGTTTTAAAGGAGGCCAAAAGGAAGACCGAATCCAAGAGGCCCAACCTCAAAAGGACGACCCATCTCACCCACCTCGGGCACCTCAGGCCAGAACCCCGCAAACTGCGAGGATGCCCGCCGAAGTCCCAGATCGAATGGGGATCTGTCTTCTTTTGTCACTCTCAATCCAAGCGTACCTTTGGACTACCTAGCCCCCCAAAAGTACAATGCAAAGGTACCCTTGGACTTAGCCTGATTTCAGGATTCGGAAACAGTTCTCCTTTCGCTTCTGTGCCAAATTTGGTCGACCATCGTTGCTTGTTGTAGGGGAAAGCCACAGGTAGGCAACCTTTCCGCGGGTTCCGGAGGAAACTATGACACGCAACCGGCGTTTTGACCCACGCCTCGCGAATGAAAGCACCGGGCAGGGTTCAACGCGCTTTTCGCAGACTTAGATTGTCCAAGCGGGTTGGCTTAGACTTCGCCCGAGCAAACCTTCCATCTCTTTGGTGCCCGTTTTTTTGTGAAAAAACATACGTGTTTCGTCCAAGGGTTTGTCATGCACTCTTGCGCTTCTAACCCCCGCCGGGCCTGCAGTGCAACTTATTTGACCACACTTTTGCAGCTGGGCCCGCTTGGGCCTGTCCCCTGATGTATGCAATACCTGTCCGTGTGCCCCCAAAGTGCCTGGATCCCCGTTTGCCGTGTTTTTTTGGTCATACGGGAGTATTTGCATAAGTAGCCATTAAAAACATGCATACGGTAGAAATCAGGCCAAAACTTCCATTTGACCAACAAGAAACTTGCATTACGGGAATTGTAAACGCTTCGCGTTGCCCACCTCGGTGAGTGAGTGAGTGAGTGAGTGAGTGAGTGAGTGAGTGAGTGAGTGAGTGAGTGAGTGAGTGAGTGAGTGAGTGAGTGAGTGAGTGAGTGCGTGCGTGGGTGGGTGGGTGGGTGGGTGGGTGGGTTTGGTTAGGGTTTTGACTACAGCGCAGCTAGGTTGCAGCTGAGCATGTTTTTCTTCAACTATGTGTGGCTGGCTTCCGTCTACAACAACCGCAACAAGGGTATGCACAGCAGCACCCATGCCGTGGTTGGCCTTGCCCCACTGAGCCTCCCGACTCACACGATGCGATGCCGCTTGCAGCATGGCTCTCTGACCCAACGATGGGTCAGCCATGGGTCCGCTCCCGCGGCTTGCCTTCCCACTTGGGTTTAGACCTCACTGCGGTCAAAGAAAAACGTCTTTTGGCCACTCAACTTCGCGACCCACAAGTTTGGACTGTGCACGGCACCGCAAAGCTGGCAGCTGGGCTTGGGGATGAACGCGGCTTGTGAACTTGTGGCGAGTGTCGGACTGTGTATTTAGGTTTCTTCAGAAATCAGCGTGGCCCCCCTTCGTGAGAAGCTTGGTGTATTCCTAAGGCTTCCAGGATGAGGATCAGCTGGCGGGTTGAAAAGTTCCTCACCTTCGCCACTGTGGGTATTGCTCCTCGCTGGCCGACCCTTGTCCCTTGACCAGAGGCCTCTCCCCCCCCCCAGTGCCGAGGTTATCTTGTCTTCCACGACGACCGGACCACATCCGGCTTTGGTCCCTTGGACGCAAGCCCGTTGCTTCGATCCGGTGAACAGGGCTGTCCAGCCCCACCAAAGCAATCCGTCGAGGTCTGGCAAGAAATGCGATGGTTGTTGCGTTTCTTCTTTCTTTCCATTTTTTTTTTTTGGGGGGGGGGGGGCGGTACATGCAGGGGCCGTAGGTGTCCTTTTTAGGTTAGCTTGTTGGAAAATAGATGGGTACTGGTTTCCCTTTGGCTCGATGTTCATTAGCAGCCGCTGGATCGGCTACATCGATCTTTTAACTACGAACACACACACACACACGCATGGCTGTGGGTCAAGAATAGGTACCAAAATGGAACCCTGGTAAGTGGTAACATATAAAACCTGCGGAAGCCCGTGTTGCGGGGTCCATCGGTCAAGATTGCCAGTAGTCTATGGTCCATTTAGGGGGCATCCAGCAAAGCCTCGCTTTTTCGCAAAAATTTGCCAAGTCCATTCTGAACAGTTCCACGGGCCGAGGCTGGAACGCCTTCATCCTCTTCAGCGCATTTCTGCAGGCGGTATGCCGGTGAAGCCTGGGAAAGGGATGGTTTTTTAAAAAACCGCCGGCGTTTGGAGACGTGGATTTCTTTGCCGGGCGCAGGGGGGGGGGGGGGTTAGGTGCAACATGTGACTTGCCTGGAAGCCTACAAAACGGAAACCCTCATAGGAGGGTACCTCTTATTGATGGTCATGCAAAGTAGTTTGGTCAAACGCAGGGCACAGTTTGGTCGACCTTTGGCAAAGCGGTTAGTTCCACAGCTGGCAAGTGAAGGCTGCGTGGGTCTGACTGCAAGCGCCGTTGCATGGTGACCCACGCTTTCTGTTCAGCAGGAGTCAAGAAGGTTCCCTTTTTGCTGACCATTTTTTTGTGCATTGGTAGCGCCCAAATCAGAGACCAACAAGAAGACAGCCATTTCTCGGGGTGCGAATCCCGAAAGAGCACCACATGGCCGGTTTTTCGGGCTGGCGGGGCCAGATGTCCCAAACCAGAGCGCCCAAACTGGACAAGGGGCCCCAGCTGTCCACTCAAAGCGTGTGGAAGTTCTGTCCATGTGGGTGCTTTGTAAACTTCAACATTTATGGAACCACCCGCTTTTTGGTTTAGGTTGACCATCCCAAAACGCGTGGGTGTGTATGTGAGCGTTGGGGCACGTGTTTACGGATGGTGTTTCGATCCAAACGAAAGCCATGAGCAAAGACCAACCCCACCCTCTAGCCCCCCCCCCTCTTTGCCCAGCTGCTAGCCCCCCTTTCAGCCCCCCCTTCCTGGGTTTTCTGGAAAGAACCGACGCCAGAAAGCTCCAGGCTTTCCTGGAGGATGGGATGGGACTATTGGGCGGGTTGAAGAGGCAGCTTGGTTTTGTTTGCCAAACTTCGGAGGGCCTGGGAGTTGATATTTGACAGGAAGAAACCAGCCATTGAATCAAACTGATCCCCCACAAGTGTTCCCATGCATTCCTTCGTCAGCTCCCTTTACTTCCCTTGCGGTTTTAAACGTCACAAATGTTTGGCCCGCCAAAGTCGAGTTGTCCCTCGGGATAATGTTTTCAGGGGAGCTATGGTGGCTCAAATTTTGCCAGAGCTGTACCAAACCGCATTGGGCAACCCATGTTTCCACTGACCGATCGGGCTTGCGCCATGTTGGAAAATTCCGGGCGCCCCGTTGAAACCGAAGATCATCTGAGCTGCCAAGCGGATCTGGTGAGAGATGGATCCGAACCGACCAGTCTTCGGGAACCGCGACCAAAAAAAATAGCGTGGATGATGCTAGGGCTAGCTTCCCCATTCTAAACCCAGGGATCCGCCTTTCTAGAAAACCACCAAAAACCCTGAGGAAATAGCTGGGTTTTTTTTTAAAGAAGGATGGCTGAAAAGAATGGAGGAGGAATCAGCCCCTAGAATGATCCAAGCGAACGAGCTGGTCTCCTTAAACAATGTGGACACGAATTCTACCCCGAACCTTTGCTTGAGCAACCAAGCGTATGGTACCTTTAACCTCCAGATGGCTAACTTCTCAGAGGACCACATTGGTTTGAGAGTTAGAGGTGGACAAGAACTAGGGCCTTTTGCGCCCAGAAAGGTTCTCACATTTCGGACACTGGTCACTTTTCTTCCCCAGAATTAGCTCCCCTTTCTTTCTTTGTTTTGCCTTTTGGGGTCCCTTTGCTTTCCACTAGCCAGGCTAAAAAGCTATTTTTTGCTGGTCCTAATTCCAGCCAAGTTTTGGGGGGCTTAGACCAGTTGAGCGGCGAATCCAAAGTTTGGGTTGTTGGGCCACTTCACCAAAGATCGGACGTGAGTTGATCGCCCGCGCTCTTTCGGGGAGCCTCAGCGAGTATCTCTGGGGACCGGTGGAATCAGGATCATCGTTTCCGTCTTCCGTTGGCTTAAGAATATGTCTTATTTTCCCCCGTTGGTTTCAAAGGGAAGCTATCACTACTGGAAATATATCTATTTTTGCCAGGGGGCGCAAAAGCAAATGGCCGTGTTTGGCGAATGCTTCATGGGTGTGAAGCACTTTTCTCGGGAAGATTGGAGGCCCGTTCTGCCTTCCCGAAGATTCCCATAGGCCAACCCCCCCCCATGTTGGAGCTGATTTCATGAACCAGCAATTGCTGAGACGGTGTGTCTTTCATTTTCCGAAAGGAATATGTGTGAAATTATCTGGTGCTCAATGGAATCGATCCCACTGGAAAAAGATACTCATGTTTTCGAGTTGCAACTGCAAGGCTTTGAAAATCCTCTCTCCAACTTCTCCCCCCGTCCCTCCAACATTTTTTCCGAAGCAACGAGGAGCGAGTGTTAGTGGAAGCCGCCGCAGTGAGTGATCGAGACCACCAGAGGCGCGGTGCCGTTCGTGAGATGTGTTTCTAGGGGTACCTTCAAAACAAAGGGGACCCCCAAAAAAGGCCTTTTTTTTAAGGGGTGCTAGTTCTAGGGAAGGTTTAAGGAGACCAGCTCGTTCGGTTGGATCTCCATGTTTCTAGGGGTACCTTCCATTTCCATTCTAAACCCAGGATGCGAGTCTTTTCAGGAAATCAGCCATAAAACCCAGAAGAAACAGATCCGGTTCTTGAAAAGAACAATGGTTGAAAAGAATGGACAAGGAATCAACCCCTAGAGTGTTTATGTCTTGTTGTAAGGACCGACCCAAAAAAGGGTGCTTCAAAAAGACACACCCAGACATCTCCTGCTTTGGGCGAGTTGTTTTGTTTGAGAGTGTGTTAGGTCTTAATATGGGTTTGTCTCAAAATAGGTGAACCCAAAAACACTGGTGGGTTTCCTGTTGATGTCCCTTTAGAACCACCAAACTCGCTGTACCTCAGAAAAGACGCTGCCAGATGTTCCCTTCGAGCTAGTGTTTGTTTGTTGGCTTTATGTTTACAGCGGAGATATGTGGAACCCTGTGAATAGACGGTCCATTCGCCCACGAAACCTAGCACTTCATAGGAGGCGTTGACAGCCAGAGTCGAGGAGAGAACAAAACAGGAGGATCGATTGCTTGGCCTAATGAGCTCAATGATGAACTTTTGGATTCCTATTTTTGACAGTACCCTTTGCCTTTTTTCCCATTTTCAAGACAAAGGAGACATAACTAACCCCCCAGTAGTGCCCGTTTACCCTTTTTTTCGGTTTTTGGGTTCCTGTACTTAAATAGGCCACAGAAAAAAAGTAAAAAAGTACCGTTCTTCTAACCTCTCTACTGGAGGACCTAGCAGGGTTGAATAGATCGCACAGCTGAAGCTCTTGGTTTTGTTTACTGCCAAACTCGGAGGGCCTGGGAGTTGATATCTGACAGGTTTAATTTTGACCCACCTTTAAAAAAGAAATCTCCCAGTTTCGGTGTCCCTTTGTCTTGGGCTTGCCATCCCCAGACCCATCCGAGAAAATCGTGGCACGCCGGGCATAAGGCCCCGGGTACTGGACAAGGGCGGGTCTTCTTCTCCCGGTACCATTGGCCCAAACGGAGAACCGCTATTATATTATTATAACGATTATTGTCATCATTATGTTTGTGTTGATTATCATTACTATCATGATCATTGTGTTTATTGTGATGTTTCTTATGGCTATGGTTGTTCGTATTGTTATTATTTTTAGTAGTAGTAAGTATAGGAGTAGTAGTAGTAGTGGTAGTGGTAGTGGTAGTGGTAGTGGTAGTGGTAGTGGTAGTGGTAGTGGTAGTGGTAGTGGTAGTGGTAGTGGTAGCGGTAGCGGTAGCGGTAGCGGTAGCGGTAGTGGTAGCGGTAGCGGTAGCGGTAGCGGTAGCGGTAGTGGTAGTGGTAGTAGTAGCAGTGGTAGTAGTAGTAGTAGTAGTAGTAGTAGTAGTAGTAGTAGTAGTAGTACTAGTAATATGATCATTACTATTATGGTTGTGGTTCCTTTCGGGATGAGTAGTGTGGTTATGGTTCTTCTTATCATGGTTATTATTAATATGGGTATGTTGATTGTGGTTATGATTATTATGGTTATCATTATTATGGCTATGGATAGTGTGGTCATGATTATTGTCGTTATGACTAGTATTGTTTTGATTATGATGACGACTATTATGGTTCGCATTATTATGGTTTTGAATATTACGATTATGTTTATATGGGTAGTTGTTTATGATTATTGTGGTTATGTTTATTGTGGTTATGTTTATTGTGGTTATGATGATTATTGTTAGATGTTTATGGTTTTGAGTATAATGGTTATGGTTGGTATGGTTATGATTAGTATGGTCATTGTTCTTGTTTGGGGGGGGTCCCTGAATGTGACGCATACCCATGTGAGACCTTTACATGATCTTAAATTGGTGGGTCGACCCAAGTATTGCCTGTCCTCCCATTTGCGAAGCTGAAATGGGAGGTGTCCGAGCACAAGGTGAGTCAATTGGCATTGACCGTCAAAAATGAAACCTGGATCATTTGTCGAGCGGATGACCGCATGGATTGTTCGTGGAGAGCTTGTCGCCTTTGTGAATGGAGGGAGGGGGGGGCATGTGGTAGCCTATTCTTGCGAGCACATCCTTCATCAGGCTGAATGGGGACTTATCTTGGGCGTAATGCAAACTTAAGCCTACCAAATTGGCCCTTCTCACGGATGTGCTCGCAGGAGCAAGCTACCAGATGCCCCTTCCCCCCCCAAGCCTCCCCTCCCAGGCCCCTGCATGGTTCGGTATCCTCCGGGCCCGACTCACAGAAAGGTTGCTACGCCCTGTGCGTCCGGTTGCCTCGGCTGGAAAGAACTTGAGCCATACGGTGCCGGTGAAAACAGAGTGTTGGAAACCGAAGCATCGTTCTTCTTGAAGTGTGGCTTCGAGGCGTTCAATCCCATTGACATGGTGATCCTGCCCGAATTCACCAGAGATACCTTCCGAAGGCGCCGTAAATTACCGTATGGTCCATTTTTTTTAGCCCAAGCTGTATGGACAGAAGAAAAACGTCACATATGGGTTTCCATGCACCCAGAGGAACCTTCCGAAGACGCCATGAAGGTGGATGTATGCTTGCCCAATGGAGATGGTTGCTCCGTAGAAATCTCACCAGCGACGCCCGTCAGCGAGCTGCAAGCTGCAGCGCAGCAGCATTTCCAGCGCCGCTTGACTCTCGCCGCGAAAGGCCAGCAGCTTGATTTTACCGCCACGGTGAGTGAGGCCGGGTTGCGAGATGGGGACGTGGTGGCTGCGGTTGCGCAGCTTGGCAAACTGGCTGCCACAGACAGGGCATTTGCTTGGCATGGCCACGGGAGCGAGCTTTTGACCTGGGGGGATCGACGCTTTGGCGGAGATAGCAGCCAAGTGCAAGAGCACCTGAGGAACGTCCAGCACATTCAAGCCATTGACTGTGCCTTTGCTGCCATTCTTGAATCTAGGGCTGTTGTGACCTGGGGTCATCCAGATTACGGCGGAGACAGCAGCCAGGTGCAAGAGCAGCTGAGGAACGTCCAGCAAATCCAAGCAACTCGCGAGGGTGCTTTTGCTGCCATTCTTGAATCTGGGGCTGTTGTGACCTGGGGTCATCCAGATTACGGCGGAGACAGCAGCCAGGTGCAAGAGCAGCTGAGGAACGTCCAGCAAATCCAAGCAACTCGCGAGGGTGCTTTTGCTGCAATTCTTGAATCTGGGGCTGTTGTGAGCTGGGGTCACGCAGAATACGGCGGAGACAGCAGCCAGGTGCAAGAGCAGCTGAGGAACGTCCAGCACATCCAAGCAACAAGATTTGCTTTTGCTGCCATTCTCGAATCTGGGGCTGTTGTGGCCTGGGGTGATCCAGATTACGGCGGAGACAGCAGCCAGGTGCAAGAGCAGCTGAGGAACGTCCAGCAAATCCAAGCAACTCGCGAGGGTGCTTTTGCTGCAATTCTTGAATCTGGGGCTGTTGTGAGCTGGGGTCACGCAGAATACGGCGGAGACAGCAGCCAGGTGCAAGAGCAGCTGAGGAACGTCCAGCACATCCAAGCAACAAGATTTGCTTTTGCTGCCATTCTCGAATCTGGGGCTGTTGTGACCTGGGGTGATCCGCAACGTGGCGGAGACAGCAGCCAGGTGCAAGAGCAGCTGAGGAACGTCCAGCAAATCCAAGCAACTCGCGAGGGTGCTTTTGCTGCCATTCTTGAATCTGGGGCTGTTGTGAGCTGGGGTCACGCAGAATACGGCGGAGACAGCAGCCAGGTGCAAGAGCAGCTGAAAAGTGTCCAGGGCATCCAAGCATCAGAAGCTGCTTTTGCTGCCATTCTTGAATCTGGGGCTGTTGTGACCTGGGGTGATCCATACTCGGGCGGAGACAGCAGCCAGGTGCAAGAGCACCTGACGAACGTCCAGCACATTCAAGCCACTGACTGTGCTTTTGCTGCCATTCTTGAATCTGGGGCTGTTGTCACCTGGGGTGATCCAGATTACGGCGGAGACAGCAGCCAGGTGCAAGAGCAGCTGGAGCGTCCAGCGCATTTAAGCAAGCCACTACGCAGCTGACACTTGAAAGGAGCCCTGCACATTAAAAAATGAAAAAATGGGCTTGGAATTTTCAAAATGGGTGATCTCCAATCCGTCTCGCTTTAAAAACCCCAAAGAAAAGAATAGAGAAACCCAAATCGAGTGATTTGGGACAGGGCTTCTGGGCAACCGCAGCCCGGTTGGGCTGTTTGGCCGAGCTCAAGAAGCCGGGGAAAGCATTTGGGTCCCTTCGATCGGATCTCAAAATCAGGGTTGTGGTTGATCACAAGGGGTTTATCCAGCCACTTCTGTGATACAAGTTCGGAATCTCCCCCTTGTGGGGAGTTAGTCTTTGGGAACCCTTTTTGTTGCATCACAGATTCGTGGATTCCTTTTCCCACAGCCCTGCTCAAAATGGGTATGGGTCAAAGTTAAACCACCAGGAATTGGACCGGTTTAGTCCTCGGTTCTATTTACCAGGATTCCATTTTCGGGTTACCCTAATTTTGACCCACAGCCAAATGGATTTCGCACCCATTTTTGATTAGCAAGGGGAGACCAAAAGCAATCCGTTGCCATTTCTTCGGGGACTTTTAAGACCTCCAAATCAGCTCGATGCAGGTCAAAACATTGCTGGGTTCTTCTCCAGAATTAGCTCCCCTTCTTGTCTTTTGCTTTTCTAGGAGTCCCTTTGTTTTCCACCAACCAGCAAAATGGGCATTTTTTGCTGGGGGCCAACTCCAGCCCAGGAACTGACTTTGCCTTCCAAAACACGGACCCTTTCGGTCAGACCCCCAATGGGTTCTCACCATGGGAAGTCGTCCGTTGAGCTTCCCAAACCAACGGTTCCAGTTCAAGAGAAACGCATCCCACATCCCACGTCCCGAAAACGTTCCAAAAACAAAAGATGGGTGTCCAACGGCGAGACGGGTTTCCAACTCCAAACGGATCCCGACCAAAACCTGAGTTGTCCAGAGCGAATCGACCTTTTGGGGTCAATGCTTCTTGGTGGCTCCCAGCCAACCCCTTAGCTTGTTAGCCTTTTACTGTTTAGTGGTAGTTTCCGAATTTTACCCTCTAAAAGTTCGTCACTTTTAGCGGGGGATCAGAAAACGGGCAGCCCATGTTTACTCATGGCAACCCAAAAGGTGATCACTTGTTATTTCCAGACCCTTTTGGGCAACTGAGGTTCCCGCTCGAAGAGTTTCTTCAGGTGGCGCCAGCGCTGGTGCAGCGACCCGCCCTACTCCCTCAAGCCTTTTGCCTCGATGTTCTCTTCGAGTCGAAGGTTTTTGGGTTTTTCTTCGACGAGCCGGGGCGAGAGTCGGATCAAAGGTAGCTCGCCTCTGTTGCAACCAGGTTGTGGGGGAAGGGCTCTGATTCCTTCAAACTCAACTTTGCAGCAAGAACCACATGGGCCCCTTTTGTTCCCCATGGCCACGCAGCTGGGGTTCCTTGAAAACCAGAAACGAGTTCCAAAAAGACAGCCATTGGAAGAGAAAACTGTCAGGTTCCATGCAGTGAGCTTACCGAGTTGTTCCACAAGATCGTGAGTTCCCAAGTCGAAACCCACGAGAAGACACCTATTTGGAACGTGAATTCCTTTGGGCAGAACTAGATTCTTCGCAAGTGTGAAGGCCGACCCAGTCAAGCACGTCTCACAAATTGCATATGTTCCCCCAGAAATATGACACACTCAAAATCAGTGTGCGAAACCTCGGAGAATATTTTGTCTTGTTTCGGTTTTCTCAAAGAACGAGTACGCGGGAGAGGTAAAGCAAAAAACGAACTGTAAACCTTGGCCAAGCAGGTTTGACCCGATGGGTATGATGTCACCTGCCATCGATACAAATACTTGGTGGCGACCAGCCATCCGATTCAACTTCCTTTTAGATCTTTTTAGAGTTGAGTGGTAGTTTCCGAATTTGACACACTCACTTTCAACAACCTGGAGCCCCGAAACGCCACTTTTTTTTGGTCAAAAGGCACATTTGGTATGTTTTTACCCGAAAGGTTGTTTTTTTTCGGTCATTTGCCAGAGTTGCCCGTATTTGGCCGTATAAAACCCGTATTTTGTCGATAAAATATTGAAAAGAAAGCGAAGGAAAACGTATTTGGCCGTATGACCATTTTTTTCGGGCAAAGCCTTTTGACCAAGACAAAACAGTGTTTTGGGGCCCCAGGAAGGCATCTGAGGGCAGCCCAGAATAGTTATGTTTATTTTGCCTTGGTAGATGACTCCATGTTGAAAGGGTCCTTAAGACTCCAGACAGGCTTCCATTTGCTTAACCACATTTATTGTTTTTTCCTTTGGCTTCACAGGGATCGATTTCACTATTGGAAAGCGTGTCTCATCTTTTCCAGGGCGCAAAAGCAAATGGATATTGCCCAGATGCCTCAAAATTGAGGTTTACAGATCACCGGGTGCTAAGCGTGACAGGCATCGACGTCCGTTGCAATTCCCAAGGTCTTGTTCTGGGAATGCTTTGGCGCAAACACATCCGATTGCACCAGGTTCAAAAGCTTTTCCGCTTCGTACGAGCTGATCAGATGGGACACCGTGAAGAACACCTAGTTGCAGATGAGTCGTCTAAGGAGATACCATGTTGGGCTTCCATGTTACCAATTCTTGGTCGAATTGGGGGGGGGGGGGCTCTCAGAGTTCTGGTCATGGGCCGCCCTTACGCCAAAAACTTCTGTTTTGCAGACTTGGGGAATCCAGAAACAAAGGCAGGTCCACACGGAAAGCAGATGAGCTGTCTCATGCGTGTCATCCTCAAAACCTCTAAACAGAATAATTTTGAAACTTGGCAGCAGCATCACGCTGAAATATCCAATGTTCTAGGGGTACCTTCCCCATTCTTTCCAGGGATCCTTCTTCTAGAAAACCTGCAGAAACCCAGGAAAAAACTGCCGGTTTTTGGAAAGAACGATGGTTGAAAAGAATGGGGAATCAACCCCTAGAAATGTCCAAGATGTCCTGCTCCACTCCCCGAGGTGCTTCTTCCGAAGCTGGAGCAAGCGCCCACCTCAGCCATGCAAAAAAAAACAAAAACGCGCGAGCGGCAGGGGTGGTTTCTTTGTTTCCCTTTCCTGATCGGTGTCCTTTGGGGGGAACGTTTTGAAATCAACAAGACACATTTCGTGCCCCTCTCCAACGGTTGCATCGAGGTAGCTGTGTTTCCGTTCACTACCCAATCCTACTCAGTGTATTGTTCCTCTTCGCATTCTGCATTTCTTCAACATGACCCAAAGGGAACCCTTCCACTTTGTTTTGTTTCGCCTTAGAGATGGCTTCAGCCGGGAAGACTCAGAATGAATCTTTCCAGGGCTCCTTAAAAGATATAATTTGCAACCAGTTGAAACATGGTGCGTTTTCAACACCAAAATAAAGAAATGGAAACCACCATTTACAAGTTGCAATGTTCGGGTGTATAATGCATCCGGATCCCTGCTTTCTTGTGCCAAAAGTTGCAGTTGAACCCGAGCCTTTCTGGCGAGGGGTTGATGGTCGATGCACTTTTCTCCTCAAGCTCGCTTCAGTTAGGGCTTGGGAAAGCTTTCTCAGAAGACACATCTGACTTTGGATTCCGGGCCCTCAAAGAAACATATGATATGCATATTATATATATATATACCTATTCTTTCCTGACGAAAAGGGGAGGCGCCTCGGTTTTGTGGAGATATCCGAAGTGAGGCAGAAAACTTTTGCTTAAGAACTGTCTGTGTTGTTTCCTCTTGGTTTTCAAGGGAATATGTATATACAACCCCCCCATGGACCCTGGTTTTACTCTATGTATATATATATATATATATCACTCGACAGACGTTTTTTTCCCCAGACTTAAGCACAAGGATCGAGGCAAAGAACCGTTTTGTTCAATGCAACGGGGCCGGTCCTCGAGCTTTTCTCGTCGAACCTTTGGGTTGGAGTTCCCGGTCCCCGGTTTTTTTGGGCCCCGCTCGGCACTGATAGCTTTGGGCTCTGGTTAGCTTAGCGTCCGGTTCCAGACAGTTTTTCAGATCCTTTTCGTTGGTGAAAGGTGGGTGTCCGTCTTTTTTACCCACGATCTTTTTCGCATGAAAACGGTCCCCGCCCTCTGAGCCGCCTTTGATTCCTGGCCGAGGTGTGAGCGACCTGACCTGGTCTCAAAGGCTCGCAACATCCTGGGGCTGGCCTTTGGAGGGTAGCCTTCACTCTTGGATGAAGGACTTTGTTTCTTTAGCGGTTTGGTTCTGTTCATTTTTAGAGGGCCAAAAACATTGAGTTGTTCCCTTGTTTTTTCCCCATACCAAGGTTATGAACTAGCCTCTTTCGGGCTGGCTTAAAAGGAGGGTCAACAGGAAAGCCCGATTTTGACACATACCCCTGAAGAGGCGCAAAGCCCGTTCTTTTTTTCGGCGGGGGTCAAGCAACATTCCTTTCCACTGCGAAAAACCACCCGCTTGACGCTTGAGATTCGGTCGGAAATTACATCGGTGGTCACGTTATGAGGGTCGAGAGGGGGGCCCCAGTGTATCTCAAGTGGAGGGGATTATGTTTGGTCGTGGCTCACATGGGCCAGTCTCACAACTGGGATCCCTTCACTTCGCTGCTTGTTGGATTATGTGTTTAGTTTGTTTTTTGTGTCTGTTGGTTCTGTTCATGTTTAGTAGGGGGCCAAAAAAGACAGTCAGTTTGTTGCTACTGCCCATACCAGGGGTCGTAAAGGATGCCCAACGGTTCCAGGATTTTGCCTATTTCATACTTGCGTCGGAGCTATAGGGGAGCCACCTATGAGCAACTAGTTGGTAGGGCCATTAATCGCCATCGGTTATGAACTTCACACGTTGCCATTAAAACACAGTAGATGGGCCATTTCGGGGCCGTAGCGCGAAATCAGATTCGGAGAAACACCATTCGTCAAAAGTCGAACGGTTTTCTAGCGCTGGTTGTTCAAGTTGACCAAGAAAGCTAAATGGATAAGCATCCTTGAAGGCATGAAACCTGGACAAGTTACGACCGCATGACACGGGAAAGAGTAAAGAGGCAGACTGAAGGTCTGTGTCATGTACAGTTTCGTCCTGTCGGGCTGATGTTAGACGGGAAGCTTCCCCTGAGAGGAACTCATTGCGGCCCGTTGTCATCCATGTTGACTTTCCTTTGGTGCATGTTGCTTGTATGTTAGGACTTTAACTTTTCGCAAACCAATGGGATGTTTGCTTTCTGGTGTTTGGGGCATGCAAAGAACAAAGCCGTTTGTAGGACTTCAGGGTTGCCAACTCCTGAAGCGGGCGCAGAGTGCCGTCTTCGAAACCTGAGAGAGCTTCAGACAGCTAACCAAACCGAACCCACCGGATGTGACCCCTTGGGAGTTTTCCGATGACCCGAAACAGGGGTTTATGAATCTGGGGTCAACATATAGTAGGCGCTGCAAAAAGCAAGTCTTTGCCATACCGTTTGGGTTGTAAAGCTGACCCCATTTTCCGCTTGGAGGGACTTTCCGTGAGGTGCCATGTTGCTAGAAGAGAGGGTAGTCACCCGAAAAAGGTGAACACCGGATGTATTTCCGATGTGTTAAAAAAATGTTAATGTTATTATATATATATATATTTATTTAAAAAAAAAAAAAAAAAAAAAAAAAAAAAAAAAAAAAAAAAAACGGAGCTCGAGGGATCCACGCGAGCCAGGCGGTCCCTATGGGCTTGTCCAGCCTCCTGGATTGGAAGAGCCTCGGAGAAGGGTGTCCTGCATTGGGCTGGCACCCCCTTTTTTGGGCGGCTTTAAAGGGAAGCCAAAAGAAAAACCCCTTTTTTTGTTTTGTGGGGGGGAGGAGTGAGTGGGTCCCCCCCAAAACAAGATAGAAAGGCAAAAACGCACACTTGGATGATCTCGGAGTGAGCTTAGCGCGGTGAAAAATATGAATACCAAAGATTCGTGGAGGATCTCTCGAGATCATCTCTCGTTTTCGGTTCAATGGTTAGACCTACGTATTGTAGACGTATTGTAGAAGGCGTAATAAATATGATCAAGCTGGTGTCATGTCTTTTGGCTTCTCCAAGCGAGCAAGTATCTAACCCAATGACCAGGTTGCTGGTTTCCTTTTGCCATTGGAACGTCCAGCGAAGTGCACGTAGCAGCGATTTTGCGCACAAGTGCAGCAATCGCTATTTATCTCGCAGCCGTGGTTGGCGTTGCGTGCGTGTGTGTCTGTATGTGTGTGTGTGTGTGTCGTTCTACATGCCTGCGTTGCTTTGCGTTGCTTTCTCGTTTGGCTTTTTTGTTTTTGTCCGTGTTTCTGGGTGCTCGAAGGCCCACCTTGACTGCTCCCAAAGGAAGCCAGAAGGGCTGGGAAGGGTCGGGTCATTTTCGTTCGGGCCCAAGACCTGGGCTCCAGAGGCGTTGGTTTTCCGTTCGAAGGGAAGCCCATCTTCGGGGCGGTGGACACGACTTATTTCGAAGGTTGCACGGCACATTTCCCCAGCGCACCAGCGGATTCCGCCCTTCTCTCGACTTTCTTTTGGGGGAAGGGTTCCCCCTGAAAGTCAACCAACCCAAAAATGGATGCCGATGTTTTTTCTCCATGGAAATCCACTCATCTGAGCTGATGTCAGTCTGGCTTCAGCTAAAGCACTTTCACAGAATGCCTGTCAGACTGCGAAGGACCTCCTACAAAGGTCTAAGGGATTGAAGCTGCGGGGCGCGATCCCTTCACCAACCAACGGGATCCACCTCAATTTACATTGCCATGTGTTTGTGGATCAGGTTCGTGTTGAGCAATCTTTACAAGCGATTGAATCCGCTTAAAAACCCAAGCTTGGATCATCCAGAAGACCCTTTCCTGCGCCATGAAGGTAGATGTTCACTTGCCAAGCGGAGATGGCTACTCCGTAGAAGTCTCACCGGCGACGTTCGTCAGCGAGCTGAAGGCTGCAGCGCAGCAGCATTTCCAGCGCCGCTTGAAGCTCGCTGCAAAAGGCCGGCATCTTAACTTGACGGCCACGCTAAGTGAAGCCGGGCTGCGAGATGGGGACGTTGTGACTGCGGTTGTTCAGCTTGGCAAACTGGGTGCCACCTTCAAGGCGTTCGCTTGGCTTGGCGAGGGGGTCGAGGTTGTGACCTGGGGTGGTCCACGACACGGCGGAGACAGCAGCCGGGTGAAAGAGCAGCTGAGGAACGCCCAGCACATCCAAGCAACTAGCTTTGCTTTTGCTGCCATTCTCGAATCTGGGGATGTTGTGACCTGGGGTGCCGAAGACTTGGGCGGAGTCAGCAGCCAGGTGCAAGGGCAGCTGAAGAACGTCCAGCGCATCCAAGCAAATGACCGTGCTTTTGCTGCCATTCTTGAATCTGGCACTGTTGTGAGCTGGGGTGCGGAGGACAAGGGCGGAAACAGCAGGCAAGTGCAAGAGGAGCTAAGGAACGTCCAGAGTATCCAAGCAACTGCCCATGCTTTTGCTGCCATTCTTGAATCTGGGGCTGTTGTGACCTGGGGTCATCCAGATTACGGCGGAGACAGCAGCCACGTGCAAGAGCAGCTGAGGAGCGTCCAGCAAATCCAAGCCACTCGCGCGGCTTTTGCTGCCATTCTTGAATCTGGGGCTGTTGTGACCTGGGGCGATCCAAGAACTGGCGGAGACAGCTGCCAGGTGCAAGAGCAGCTGAGGAACGTCCAGAGCATCCAAGCAACTGCCCATGCTTTTGCTGCCATTCTTGAATCTGGGGCTGTTGTGACCTGGGGTCATCCAGATTGCGGAGGAAGCAGCAGCCAGGTGCAAGAGCAACTGAGGAATGTCCAAAGCATCCAAGCCACTCGCGCGGCTTTTGCTGCCATTCTTGAATCTGGGGCTGTTGTGACCTGGGGTGATGCATTCTACGGGGGAGACAGCAGCCAGGTGCAAGAGCAGCTGAGGCACGTCCAGCACATCCAAGTAACTGCCCGTGCTTGTGCTGCAATTCTTCAATCTGGGGCTGTTGTGACCTGGGGTCAGTCAGAAGATGGCGGAGACAGCAGCCAGGTGCAAGACCAGCTGAGGAATGTCCGGAGCATCCAAGCAACTGGGGCTGCTTTTGCTGCCATTCTTGAATCCGGGGCCGTTGTGACCTGGGGCGATCCAGAACGTGGCGGAGGCAGCAGCCAGGTGCAAGAGCAGCTGAGGAATGCTCTGCACATCCAAGCAAACCGCGAGGGTGCTTTTGCTGCCATTCTTGAATGTGGGGCTGTTGTGACCTGGGGTCATTCTGAATATGGCGGAGACAGCAGCCAGGTGCAAGAGCATTTGAGATTGAAGCGGGGGCAAAGCTGATCAAGCAGCGTGCGGTAGAGCTTGGGTGAAACTGGCACCACTCTGTAGTCCAGAGAAGGACCTGCATGCGTTTGTGTGTGTGTGTGGGTGCGTCGTGGTTTCACCCTGTTTGGGGTTGTGCTAAGAAAATCAAACAAACAGGAACACCAGCTCCCGCCAATGCAGGGATTGCTTGCTGCGCTGGCTTTGGCCTCACAAAACGTGGGTTTTGTTTCCTTTTGGTTTAAGGTTGACTACTAGGTCCACGGCTTATATTCCGCCGTGTGTCAAACAGCCTTTTTTGGGAATCAACGGCCTCACGTGGCCATAGCCTCAGTGGGATGTACAGAAAACTGTTTTGGCAACTTCAAAGCGACATTTCAAGGGGGGAAGCTGCTTGCAAGCCGAACTCCACTGTCGCTGGCGCTGAAAAGCTCATTTTCCAGACCCCGCAACTACTTTTCACAGTATGGATTCTAATGCTTGCAAGAATCTCTGTCGGGACTTCCTGCTGGAAGGCAAACCAAGGCCGCATGAATATGTACTCTGAGAGCCACGGATGCAGTTTGGCATCCTCTCCGGAAAACAGCTTACTGACAAGCTTCGGTGGCAAAAAGGTTGTCAAGCTAAGCCACCGGTCTATGACTTGTGAGCCTACAACTTGGCTCAAAAAATGGTGTAACAAAAAAAACCGTCCCGGCCCTCATCCAGAGCAACAGTGCTGTTCAGACCACGGCGTGGTCCGACTACTATGGACCCAAATCTGTACCTGCTATGTTTAGTGTACCCTGGAGTTAATTCGCCAATTCCGGGTTGGCGACTTGTAGCAGCTGTTTGCAGGCGAGTCAAACACAAACAACCAAATTTGACTTCAAATGACTCCGCCTTGTCAACGAGCCTTCAACAGATAAGTTGTTTTGTGGGGGTGTGTCAATGACAGAACACCAACCAAAGGGGCTGTTCTCCTTAGTGCCCCTTCCGTTTTTCCTGGACAAAAATGGGGCATATGTCCAGTAAGCATAAATTCCCTTTAAAACCAACTGGGACGTGGCGTCCTTGCCGCGTCAGTTTGAGCTGTGGCTGTGGCTTTCAGTCCTTTGGCCCCCGGGCGCCCAAAACCGAGGAGTGCGCGGGTTGTGGCCAACTGGAAACCCTTCCCAGAGGGCTGAAACGTCCAAACGAATTCGCGCACGCCGCTAGAAGCTCAAACGCCATAAAGTGAACTCGTGCGTGCCGAAGCCGAGTTGGCCGATCTCGCGACCTTGGTCTTTGCCCCGGGTCTGGGAAAGGTGTCCGGCTCAAACCCTGCCAGTCGAGAAGAAATCTGCTGTTTGGGCTGGCCATCGCGCACGACCTTACGCCTGGCAGGAGAAGCAGGCGTAAGAAAACCACCAAGTTTTGCGGTCGCAAACATACAAATGTAAGCACGTAAGGTTGCGACCCAGATTTGCCCGCGGTTCCCACGAGCTGTTTTGTTATACTGGGGCAGCCTCCGGCCGGCCAACCGGCTGGCTCACAGGAAGTAATCCCATGGACCATTTTCCCCACAAACTGCGTTGTGAGAATATTCAAGAAGAAGTGAACAACAGTTTCTGGGAAGATGGTTTTATGGTGGTGCGGCCCCAAAACAGTTCATGGGATTTTTTGATTTGTTTTTCGATTTTCTTGCCGGGGGAAAACCCCGTAAAACGGTTGGTGGGAGCAGAACCCCATGAACCGTTTTCCGATAATCAAGCCCGAAAGGATGGAGCAATCTCAAGCTCAAAGCTCGTTCTACTTCCAATCTGAGCTATCTCCGTCAAGTCTGCTGTCCTCTGTGCCAAAGGAGCAGAGACGGAAAAGCCACGCTACAGGGCTAAATGACACGCGTTTTCAGAATCTGTTTGGCTTGGTGCTCTATCAATAAGCGTCGCGCTGCGTTCGCTCAGTAGGGCTTTGGCCAAAACCCGTTTCCCACGAACTATCATTTGTCCACGAAGTGTTTTTTCCCACAGACTGTTTTTGGCGACCCTTAGGAGAAGTTGCTGGCAGATTCCGCTTTTGGCTACACGCGCGACCACCGGGCAAGGTGTTCCTTGACAAGGGCTGTTGAAAAAAATGTTTCTTATACAGGGGAAAAGCGTCTCCTTCATAAGGACCTTTTGTGGGAGCAAATTCCCGCGAACGGCTTTCCAAACACAAGCGGTTTGTTAGAAACAGCTCGTGGGACGTTGCTTGCGTGGGCGAGATCCTACGAACTGCTTTTCCATAGACTGTTTTGCCCATGGACTGTAGAAGGACTGCCGTTTCAACAGAGGCATCTTTCAGAACAAAGCCTTGTAAAGGGAAAAGCCTTTGGAAGAGCCTTTGAAAAGGCAGGAGAAAGCCTTGCCTGGGGCAGCTCCGATCAAATTAGTCCACGGGAAACAAGAACAATCCCACCGATTGTTTTTGAACGCTGGGGGGCCAGCAGGGCGAAGGTTTTTGCAATTTGTCAGCATGGCTGGTCTTGTTTTGGCTTCACAAACGGTGTTTCCATTGCACCAAAACAAAATAGTCGATCGCGTGTTTGCTGCCCATTTCATATTCAGAATTACAATGTGCACATTGCTCCTGTGCCCAACAAAACACACGGTCGCAAATATGTGCTTTTGCCCGACCCCGCTCTCCTGAGGAACGCGGAGTCTGCAGGCCGGTCGCGACCTCACGCTTAGATGCCCATCGCTCGGTTGCTTTCCTTGGGGCCAATACTGTATCTGCCCTTCTGCCGATCAGGTCTGCGCACGTTGTGGTGTTGCGCAAACGCGTTTACATGTGGAGTTTTTGCAAACCTGTTCATGGTAAGTGGAAGCCAACAAAAATTGTTGATTGCTAAATTGCAAACAGCAGGGTAACATAGTGAGTATTGAGTTAATTTCATGAGCCAACTGGTGCAGTGACGTTTACAGCGGAAATCTCTTGAAGCCCTGCTTTTATGGTAATCGGTATTCAGCACTGAAAGTTCATGGCCCTTGTACAGCTCTGTGGGTTGCTTTTGTTGTTCGTCCGAAATAACGTGTTCACATATCAGAAATTGAGTCGGTCCCCCCACTGCACGCAAAAAGCTGTGGACTGTTCAGCTGCAAAGCCGATCCGGCAAGTCCAAATAAGTGATTGTTTTTTGGGGGTGCCCCCAAATTGGATTTCGGCGTTCCTTTTGATTTCCCTTTACAACCTACAAAAAAGTCTACCCTCAGAGCCAAACTAAACATTTGTTCACTCAACGTCTATAGGTTTTATTGCCTTCAGGGCACCATGAGAGCAAGCCATTAGCCATGTGGGTCCTCGGGCCGAATCTGGTTAATGGAAGCTGATGATCAGAGGGTGGAAGACGATGTTCCTTTTGGAACCCCAAATCGTGCACGTCCATTGTGGGGAGGGTATCTGCCGGCAGATTTCTTTGGACAACTTTCGGAACCGATCTCCTTTGTGAAGAGGCGAACTTCAACCTGCAAACGAAAGGAGTGGGAGCACCGGAAGTCGCGGGTTGGAGGTCGGCATATGGGTTGTGAGGGTGGTTTCACGGGTCGCCGAAACCGACCATTTGAGAGAGATTCCCCATGTTGACACGAAATGCGAATTTCAATGGGAGCGCATGGGCTAATGTCTTCCATTTGTTGGAAGGTCACTTTCTTACATGGCTGCCCCCTGTTTTCTTGGTGGCTCCCAGCCATCCGGTTCCTTAGCTTTTTGGCCTTTCAGTGTTTAGTGGTAGTTTACATTTAACCCACTAAAAGTTAGTCACTTTTGGCGGCGGATCTGAGGGTCCCCCCTGTTTTGACAGAGGCCAAGTTGCACCAGGCAAGACCAACACCAGCTGCACCTGCAACGAACGCCTGGCCTGTTGAGGACTCGCCCGGGCTTGCGGGGGAAATGACGCACTGCTGTAGATGGACGAAATCCATTTCGCACCACCGTTCAGAAACCCTGGAATGATGAGTCCCCTGTACCAACAAACGATGGTGTCAACCATGTTTTTTCAGGTGGTGCAGGATTTTGTCCATCCACAGTATGGCATGCAGGTTCTTTGCATGTGTTTTCGATTTGTCCAAAGCATATCAAAGTTATCCTGGGGTGCATGTCCCAAAAAAATGTTGTGTTTTTGTTTATTGTGTTTTTTTTAATGGTGTCATGCTAGTCTGCAGGGTAAGTGAATCATGCGGCTTTGGGGGCCTTGACCTAGAGCAGTGAGTGGTGAATTCGTATAATTTCCCCAAATCACCCATTTGGAACCACATTGGCAGGTAAAAAAAACCGCAAGTCTCGGTGAACCATGGCTCCTCAAAGTATTCAGTCGTTGATAGTCAATCCCATATGATCATCATTGTTTGAGTTGGTACAGGTTGTAAGGGAACCAAAACAAATAGTTGGATCTGTTTCTTCTGTTTATTCTTAGTAGGGGGCTGCAAAAGTCAGTCAGTTTTTTGGTACCATACCAAGGGGCAAACTTTCCCATTGGCTTAAACAGGGTTATCTCTCAATAGGAATCCGAATCCTGAAAAGATGGCTCCGGCGTTCAACGTTTGGTGTCCCTTCTTAAAACTTCAAACCAAAAACAGGCGTAACCTAAGAGACAGACCCACATGGGACGGATCTGTCTAGCGACACCTCCAACTTTCGTTTTGGCGGGTCTACCGCGACAAGACCTGGCAGAGAGAAACAAACATGGCAACTACACCAGCATAGACCCCAGACCTTTCTTTTATTAGAAGTTAAAACCCCCATAGCTAAAAAAGCTCTCTGGGGAAAATGGCAGGAGAAAGACATGGAGAAAAGCCGAACTAAACCATGAGCCATGACCATAACCAAAACCTAAATGAGACCTTGAACCAGGACCTTTGCACAGGGCTCCCTTGTCACCTGGCACGGTGAAACATGTCAGCTCGCACATGAATAAAACCGGTTTGAGAGCTGCTCATCGACGAATCCATGAGGCACATTGGCTTCAAAAGCGCCGCTCTGCCTATGTTATGACGCCAGCTCACATGGATGGGGGAAAAATCGAGCTTACCATGATAAAGGTCCTTTGCTCAAAGGTCCCTTAATTCAGGTTTTGGGATGATAGCAAAATGTGCCGAGCGATGCAGAAACAGTACACCAAGGCTATTCAAATCTCCATACCTGGAGCCAATCAACGGCGCAAGAGGTCAAGCCAAGCCCCAACTGCCGCTGGCTTGGTCCAAGTCCGAAAAGAAATCGGTGCAATGGTTCGAGGGAATGGCCATCAGATTTGAGATCGTGCCCATTTTGGAGGTAAGGAAATAGATGTTCAGCAAAAAGCGGGCGCGCAGAGAGAGAGAGAGAGAGAGAGAGAGAGAGAGAGAGAGAGAGAGAGAGAGAGAGAGAGAGAGAGAGAGAGAGAGAGAGAGAGAGAGAGAGAGAGAGTTCACCCACATGGCATTTATGTTGTTCGCTTGCCATGCTTCTTCCATTGGTTCTTGTTTTATCATCCTTTGTGTTGAAGTCTCATTCATTTCAGGAGCCCTCAAACCTGGCCGGAAGGGCTCGATGTGCTCCAGACAAGCCCCAGTGCAGCTCCCTGGTAAGCTGCCGCTGGGTTAAACTGGACCTCGCGCGAAGCATTTCACCGAGCAAGCATTTATTTCTCTTGCCGCATTATTTCCCACAGGTCTTCGGTATTTCAGACAGGGGTCCCTTTTACATTGTTGTTGGGAAACATCTCACATGTTCGCTTCTTGTGGCTCGCTTAAAATCCAAATCCACAGCAACTGCTAAGACTTTTCAATGGTTGCTCCCCTTCCGACGTCAAAGCTATGTCCCTTGCCTCTTTATTTTTCCCACCCCGGCTTTCTTTTTTCCCACTCCGGTATCTTCAGTATTTCAGAGGGGTCCCTTTCCCTTGGTTCACCATCCCCCGTGGATCGGTGGATCGCCCCCCCCGTTTCGACCGCTTCCCGTTTCGGATCGCCAGGAACCCTCCGCGCTGTGGCGCGCCTCGCAGCGCAGCGACGAGACCTTCTTCCCCAGCTGCGGCCCCCAGATCCGAGATCCGAGATCCCACCAGCCGCTTACGGGCAGGCGGCGGTGTTGTTGTTGTTTTTTTGGTGTCCACTTAAGCCATGAATCTCGGGGAAAAAAAGTGGAAAAAGAGAGAAGAAGAAGAAAAACGGAGCAGTGGTGTCCAATTGCTCGGTGATGTTGGTTCCAAATAGATGGGGAACCCACTTGTTTAGAGGGGTTTTGAAGGCCCATGTATCAGGGAAAACCATCGAAAGGACACCTATGGGATCATCGGTGTTCAATGGGAATTCATCCTGTTCTTGGGGACCAGGAAATGATGTCAAGGTTCGGGGAATCCACCGTTTGGGACTTGTCCTTTCTCACGAGTATGGCTCAAGGCATGGCTCGCAGGGATGCAAAAACAAAATCCACACAGAAAGTGTGTCGACCGGTTCCCAGGGAACCAAAATCCCCATGCAAAAGAGAGCAAGCCAGTGTAGGTTTTCAGTAGGGCCCTTTCTCGCCCCTTTTTCGGGGGAGGGTTCTCCTACTAAAATAGACTACAGAAGAAGAAAAGTCGGGTACCCCTATTCTAACCCCTCTACAGGAGGACCTAGCAGTAGTTGTGTGTCTAAGGCTTACTGATCCTCTCCAACAGTTCCCTTGGCTTACGGGAATCTCATCCCAGCAACGTCAAAGGGCTTCCAACCCTAAGCTGTGAGAATCGGGTACATGTTGCTTGGCCATCGGATGGAGTCGGGTAGGTGAAGACCAATCTAAGTCATGCGGGGAATCCGTGGCAACCCTTGGGCCCCTGCCGAGATTCGGAGAAAAAAGACAAAGAGAAAAATGGTTCATGCAAAAAAAACATAACAATCCTTGGGCCCCATGTTACCTTCGGTCACACCGGATGTCAAGCCTCAAGCCTCATAGTGACCTCAGCTTGGCTTCTCAGCAGTCCCTCTTGCCCGGCGGCCCGTCGCTCGCTCGCTCCCCACGAAGCAGCTAAAAGATCAAGCTGTTCTCCGGAGAAGATCCGTTTTTCGTTGGTTTTTAGTGGGTGAAAGGTGGTGTAGTTTCCATTTAGGCCACAAGTTATTCACTTCCGGCGGATCTGAGGATGGTTTTGGTCTGGAAGCTTCCCAACTGAGGTATGGTGGCCAAGGGCCGCTTCTGGTGGTACGCAGCCATGGTGCCGGGCTCGGCAGAGAGACGCTTGGGTTTTGCGGTCAATGGCCTCTTTGAGGCTTTGGACCGTTCGGCGAACGAAAGACTGAGATCAACGGAGGAAGAGAGAGAGAGAGAGAGAGAGAGAGAGAGAGAGAGAGAGAGAGAGAGAGAGAGGGAACATCACATGGCTGTTGTTGGGAAACATTTCTCACATGTTTGCTTGTTGTGGTTTAGTGGTTGAAATCCAACCACTTAACTGCTAAAATTTCAATTGTTGCTCCCCTTTCAACGTCAACCAAGATCAGCCCCGCACTCCAATCTTTCAAGAAAATTCTAAGATCAGTCCTTTAGGTTGAGGGGGGCTTTGCTCAGTTTTCTCTACCGAAAGAAAGGGTGCTGGTTTGCGACCAGACACCCATGACGAGCTGATTATCGACTGGTATTGATGCCCGTGGGTCGTTGTTTCATTTGACTCCAGGTCAATGGAACCACCGCCTTCCCGGTGTATTTCATGTAAGTAGCCTGGGGTAGGCGTGTTGTGGCGTGGGCGTGTCTCTGGTAAAGGAGGCTACGCCATGTTCAGGGGATATGATATCAAAGGAGTATGGTCGGGATCACCAAAAAAAACGTCGGCCTGGCCATGGCTGCCTCAATAGGCACCCTTGGTTCTAATGAGCCTCGCCAGATGTGATGGACAACGGAGGGCACGGACCCAATTCGTCTCCGGGCCAATTTTCAAGGTCCAATGGAGCAAGTAGTCACAGTCTACTGGGGAGGACCTGGCCGTCGCAACCAACAAAATTGCCCGCAACCACCAAACTGCAACCACAAGAACCAGGGAGGACGACCCAATAGTCCCAAGTGTTGACCCCATGCCCATCTGCATCCGGTCGGTTAGGTCCGGCTTTTGATGGAGCCATTGCCATGGCTGCAGGAGCCGAGCCATGTGCATGAAGTGGATCGGGTGGATTGCACGCCTGCGCCATTTGAATGCTTCCCCAGAATTAGCTCCCCTTTTTGCTTTTTTGCTTTCTTGGGGTCCCCTTTGTTTTCCACTCACCAGGCAAAAAATATATTTTTTGCAGGGGTTTTAATTCCAGCCTAGAATGGGGAACCCAAACTGGCGGACATCAGGGACTCATGTCCACCGACGTTCCCTGTGGCCCTTCGAAGTGAAGAAGGAGTCACAGGGATGGGAATCCCATACTGATATCACAGGAGTTTGTTCCACTCACCATGCCTGTTGGTGAAATCCGTCAGCCCAGACGTGCAAAAGAGAGCGGACGGAATCTTGGTGGCTCCCAGCCATCCAGTTCAACTTAGCATTTTAGCCTTTCAGTGTTTAGTGGTACTTTCCGTATTGAACCCACTAAAAGTTAGTCACTTTTAGCGGGGGATCCGAAAACGGGCAGCCCAGGAATGTCCTGTCCCGGAGTCAGCTTGAATCAGAGTTTCATCGTCGCGCGCCCGATGCGACTTCACCGCCGCGCCGATTCCCCGCTTTCTCAGCTTCAGTCAAGGCAAACTGCACCACATCCTCAGGGCCCGTATCACATGCGGTTGCCAACTTGGTCCGCAATCTAACAAAGGCGTGAAGAGAACACCGCTAGTTTCCTGGTCTTATGTTCTGTCTGGGCCGCTTTTCTTTGTTGCGAATCGATTAGAAAGACAACACTCAGGCAGACAAAATGCCGAAAACCCGTATGTATATATATATATATATTCTGTGTATATATATATATATATGTATATATGTATATATATTCCATATCTATATATATATATATATAGATCCTTATTTAATAATAAAAATAAAAATAAAGGTCCGCGGTCCACCGGTCCGGCACGCGGTCCGATTCTTCTCATGGCCATGCGGAGCCTGGCCCGTGCCCAGGCGCCTTCTCATTCGCCACGTTTTGGGCTGAAGATGTTTCGTCCGTTTGATGGTTCCAAAATGGTTCGATTTGTTGGGATTTTCTCCAAAATGGTTCCAAAATGGTTCGACAATGGCTCGATTGTTTGGGATGTGTGTTCTGAGTTTTTTTTCGTGAGTTTGATTTGTTCGCCACGTTTTTTGGGATGTGTTTTTTCCGACTTTTTCGTGTCGGTTTTTGTTTTGTTTCGCCCGTTTGAATGTGCGAATTCCAACATGATCCCATGGTTCAAAACCGTTTTGGGATCCCATTTTGGGATAGGTGAATTCACCCATTTTAGGCTTCCTATTTTAGTGGTTGGATTGGGATGTTCACTGGGGGGAAGGGGGGTTGACCCATGGCCACATGTGAATTGGAATCCAGAGTAAAATACCCAGTTGCGACCAGTGGGTTGCGTCCTTTTGTTCTTTTTTTTTGGATTTGGGTGTCCCTTTAAAGTCAACGAAAAAAAGGATGCCGATTCTTTTTCCCCATGGAATTCCACTGGGCATCTGAGATGAGTCACTCGGGGTTGAACCATTTTAGTGGTGAATCAACCGCGCGGCCTTGCGCTTTTTTGGCCAAGCTCCATCGGAAGTGAGTACTCCTGCGAGCTCTTCGAATAATGTTGACCCCATATTAATCAACCTCAGTTTATTTAGAGGGGGTGGTCCCTTCCAAAAGTGATGATTCCCCACTAAACCCAGGGACCGCGCCTATGAATAAACTGGGGTTGATTGATATGGGGTCAACATTAGCGGACCCGGCGTTGGGAGACGAACTTTTCAGGGGACTCATGCTGAGAAACACCTGGGGCACAGTGTTGCCAGTTTTCTCTCGGCTCTTCCAAAGGTGGCGGTTGATATGAGCTGGGCTTATGCTTTGTGGTTTTCCCATGGCTCCCCCAGGTTATGGAACCTAAGCAACATGATTGCTAGAGGAATCTCTGCTTTGTTCGTTGGTGTTCCATGTTCGGGCGCATCATGACGAACATGCCGCACCTATGATCATGGCTCAATTACCCAGGATGGTGACTGAGGTTGCATTTAAAGTCTCCCACAAACCTATGATTGTTCTCTAACCCTTTCCAGTCATAAAAGTGGACAAGAGTGGTTTGGAAGACTATTCTTGTGAAGGCCAACTTCCACGATTGTTGGAAAAGGGTGTTTGAATTGTGTGATTTCCCTAAAGGAGAACCAAAAGAGGATGCGTTGCGTTTAATTTTCCAGACTCCCAATGCAGCACACCCTAAACCACAGGGGTCCAGCAACCCGGCAGCTCAAAATAGGAGATTGTAACTCGCGTCCCTTAGAAACAAAGCACATCGGCAAGTTGCAGGCAATTTGCAGGTGGTGAAACCATGCATGATAGCAAAGCCTTGGGAAACAGGTCAGGCAGTCTTTGGAACCCACCAGACAGATCAAGGTGAAAGATTCGTGGGAAATCGCAAGGGCCGTGTCAACCTGTCCAGTGAACTCTGCTATGGAGCCCAACACATCCATCTCGAGAGAGGAGACACCACTTTTGCGGGTGCTCCTTGTCAAAAACTGTCGGTTGCTTTTTGCTACGCCGTGCCAATCTTTGGGCTCGGCAGGAGGGGGGGGGGGGGCAGGTTGTTTTTGTTTTTCTCATTGGGTAAGTTGCAGTAGAATGAACCACGACAGTGTGTACGTGTTTATTGTTGTTGTGCAACGGATCTTGAGACTCGAAAACTGCTTGCTTGAAATCAGGCTGGCTTTCCGAATGAAGCGCGACGCAGCATGGTAATCCACGGAAGATACAGCTGAACAACCGTCAAGATTCACCATTCGCCTTTGTGCATGCAGTGAGGTTTTTGGGGCACCCTTTTTGTTTTGCAGAACAGTTGAGTCAACCACTGGCGCAACAGATCCCCCTGCAACGCCTCCAGGCGCATGCTTGCAGCTTGCGCGCAGGAGGGCCCCCCGAACCAAGAGACACGTTCAGTTGAAATGCCTTTGGTCGATGCTGAATTTGGGGTTTGGGATGAGAAGGAGGACTGATACGAAGTTATCCTGCTTTTCCATTGGCCATTGGGCTCACAACGTGTTTTCTGATGGGGCTTGACAGGGCCTTCCCCTCACACATCACCCCACACAAAAGCTCGCGTTACATTGGCAACCGAGCCCTTGGTTGGAAATCTGCCCTCAAGACCTCTCGATGCTTCGTCGAGCTGGGAGCAGTCAACCGGTGAGATTCAGTCAACATGTCCCAATAGTCAAGAGGTCACTAGATTTCAACCACCATTACGGGTGTACAAAGCAAACGTTGACCCTGCCCATGGTCAGTTTGCTCTGCGATGATTTTTGGGCGCCAGATTTCAGTCTCTGTTCATGGGCAAGCCTTGAGGGTCGCTGAATTACTGCAGGTTGGCACCCAGATTCGCGGAGCATCTTGATCCCGTGTCCTCGAATCGCACTTCGGCTTCCCGAGAACGCTCACAACAGCTTTTCCAGAGGGTTGTGGACAGGAGTTGCAAAAGTTGGCTAAAAGAAATCCCCTCCCAAAATGAGAAAGCGTTCGGGAACCCGGTCCCCTTAAAAGGACAATGGTCCAAACCAGGACCATTTCCCCGAAGGTCGAACGGTTCCATGTGAAAATGGTCGGAGGGTAGGTCGGGACATATCTCACTAACAGTCCAACAACTTGCCACTCAACTAGCACATTGTTAAAAAAGAATGGTCGGGTTTGGTTTTCATCCAAAATCCCACGGCAAGTCGTTCCTCGACACCCGCGGAACACCTCCAAAGCGCAGGACCTCGCAGATGTTTCGCGCACAACGCGCCGCAGTTCTCGGAGGACCGGATTCTAGCCTCGTTGAACGGGTTGCCTCGTCTTTTTTTTCTGAGTTTGTGGGGCACTCAATAATCAATGGCGGTCAAGTCAACGGTGTTTTGTGGGACCCCATAAAATGGCGGTGCTCAACTTTTGGTTTCCCTTTAACAGCCGATTCTTTCCTGTTGTTGGCAGGTGGTTTGGGCTTTTTCTTGAAAGCATTGCGAAGGGTTCTGCCGGTAGAATCGGCAGCCGTACGGCGCAGCCAAGTAGAACATGCACGAGAGCACATGCAGAGCAAGATGCACAAAGGCACGTGCAGACCAAGATGCACAGGAGGACACGCAGAGCAAGTAGCAAGAGCAGCAAGCTGCAGTAGCCAACGTGCACGAGAAGGCTCGCACGAGACATGCGGACCCTCTAGTCTCTTGAGAAGGCGCAGTGGCAAGAACCCGCGCGACCTTCTGCGGGGATTGGCGCGGTCGGTCGCTCGAAATGCTAGTGAAAGTAAAGTTTGTACTGTGGTTCGCGCGCCTGCTCTTGAAAGCAAGCAGCCTGGGCTCGCATCTTGCTTGGTCTCCGCAGCTTCTGAGTTAGAAAGTCAGCAGCGCGAAAGAGACGCGCCCCCATCTGGAAAATCGCAACTCTCAAGTACGAAAGTGCTACGCGAAGTACACTTTTGCAGGTCCCTTCGACAATTGGACTCACGTCGAAAGGGTTGCTGTGTTGTGGCCAGCGCTGCGCGCAGAGAACTTGCTCATAGAAACTAGTTCCGAGCTTGCGCAGCACACTTGCGCAGAGCGCTTGCGCAGTGCAACCTGCACAGAGCACCGGCACACGCACAGCAACTTGCACAGATCACTTAGGCTGCGCGCTGTCGCAGAGCAACGCTCGCACAGAGCTCGCAACAACGGGCAGTCTGCGCAGAGGTTTTTTGAGGAGCCGTTTACATCATGTTTACCTCGAAGCCAGCCAACTATTCTAAAAGAGCTCTGGGTTCAGCTTGAAATGCAAGTAGCGGTCATCAGAACTCAGGCCCCAGCTCTCAAAAAGGGACCTTTCTTTGATTGGAGCCGCCGAGAAGGTTCTAAGAGCCGTTGCTGCAGATGTCACTCCAACTGGCTTGCAGTTTTTACATTGCGAAGCTTTACATGTATGTGGGAATTCGCAATTTCTTGAATTTTGGGCTAAATTTAGATGTCAAGTTGGATCTTGTCCGAATTCGCGA